ATCATAGGATAGGATAGATCTAAAATTTTGAGCTACTCAGTGCTTTGGAAGGCACGTGAAGTCTTTGTTACCGGCTTTATCTGAAGTTGTTAACGTCTTCAACACTGGGATTCTATTCATGAGAAAGGTCTGTGCCTGAGCAGTGGAAATAGCGATGAACATTAATTGGTTGATTATATTGTTGACTAAGGTTGATTTCTCTTGACAATATAACAAGTCTAGATTAGAATCGCAATCGGGATCTCGAAAATGATGCCACGATGAATCTGAAGAGCTTCCTTAGTCCGTTTTAGCGATAAGGCTGACCATATTATTAATTTATGCGAAATTTTTTGTATTCTTTTATAACATTATACTTACAATAAAGTTTTGATTGATTCATTCACGAAAGAATTATCGTTATCACATATTTTTTCCTATATTAACGGTATTTTAATATACCCCGATGCTCGTCTATAAAGCCTGATACAATTTACGAATACTTCTTGTACGTACAAATATGTCGCAACATTTTCCATTCAATAATCAGCTTTAACTATAAATGGCTATGGTCAAATCTTGCATCGCTGCTGTCACAGCCTTGTTATGGCGGTGTGCGGGACCATTAATCGATTGTCCAACCATGTGACATGGAAATGCTTTGATTACAGCATCCTCCCCTCTTTTAATTCATTGACTTTTTATGCTTCTGCGATTCGCTGATGTCATATAGGTCAGGCGGTATTGGTTAGAGGTTTTTATAATGTTATTGTGCAGATTTCAGAATACCAAAGTGCCTACCAGTTAGAATTACCAAAGGTGACGTTTTTATGAAAAAATATTTCTTTCGGCTGTTTGGGTGGCTTGCCTGGACATTAATGAAAACACGCTCTGTAGTAGCGAAAAAGTAACAAGTGCTTGAAAAATTCGTCAATCTTGTTAGGTCCTGGGTAGCTCGGGGTGCGTGGTCGGAACACCTCCTCGTGCGCCTGTTACCATGGATGATCAGCTCCCACTGGGAACGGATCCGCCATAGTTGCGGGCCGGTGTACTCCGGGCATGGGGAAGGATGGATTCGGTATTAGCTGATCCATCGGTCCCTATGGCCAAGAGTCCGACACTGGGGGCTCGGCGGGCGTCCTGGACATTCTGGGTAGCAGCCGCCGAGGGGGGGGAGTCCTTCGGGACAGGGGAGGGGGGTCTTTGGGCTGGGGCTTCTGTGCCCTCCAGCGTCTTGCGCGTAGGGGGGAGGTAAGGTCCACCCAGGACCACGTGTGGGGAGCCCATTCTGGGCTAAAAGGTTGTTCCGCGTCGGCATCCTGGCAGTAAGCCGGGTAGCGGCAATGCGGATCGGAGGCTCTGCCGGCGTCCGGGACGTATTCCCGGTAGCGGCGGTCGAGGACGTCGGGATTCGTGGAACATAGGGGGTGGTAGGCCTCTTGTGGGCCACGACTTGGGGTGTCGTTGTTGGTAGTGGGCGGAGGGTCGGTGCGTCGGATGGGCGTGTGCGGTCTAACCCGCGTCCGTACGACGTACCGGCATAAAAAATCGCTCTGCCGAGCCGCCTCCGGCCATCTGGACAAGATAGCTTTGGCGGAAGATAGGAAGAGAGGGGAACGATTCCTAGAAAAATGGGAGAAGGATAAAGACAATACCCTGAACATCATTGACGAGGACATACAGGATGTAGTTGCCCGCGTCATGACACTCAAGGGTATTACAGCAAGGGAGAAGAATGAAATAGCGGATACGATGAGGGAGGTAGAGGAGGAGGCGAGGACCTTGAGTGAGATCACCAACACCAAAACCTTTGCCGACCTCGTTAAGGCGAACATCAATCTCAAGGAGGAAAATCGGGTGCTGAGAACGGAAATGAAGGACCTGAAAGACGAGAAGGAACTGAGAGACAGGAGGATTAGAAGGATGCGGAAGGAGATGAACGACCTGCACACGGAAATGGAGAAGTTGAGAGGCCTTGTCAACTCCCTCCAGGACAGGATCGTTGAGTCTCCTGCCCCGGCGAGTCCTGGAAGTGAGATCTTTCTGAGATCCGTGTTGGAGTCCGTTGACACCATGGTCTCTGCCCGGATCGAGGGCTTGGAGGAAAGGCTGCTTCCCCCAGTCAGCCACCGACCACCTCTCGCGACAGATAAGAGGGCCGCCCCGGTCGCGAGGAGACGAACGGCAACGGACGAAATAGAGAGGGAGAGACCTTCGCTTGATCAGAGGTCATGGTCGCAAGTAGTCAGTGGAGGGCGAAATAGCACGGCTACAGCGACCCCTGCAACCGTGACCACGAGCAAGATAAAGAAAAGGGAGGAGAAGAAGGAGAAGGAAAAGAAGGATAAGACGAAGAAGGACCCCATCTCCTCAGAGGCCACTGAAAGGGGGATCACGTATAAAAATGTGTTGGATAAGGCGAGACGTAGTATCCATCTAAAAGAGGACGTCGGTATCGAGGAGATGGGAAGAAGAGTCGCAGCAACTGGCGCTCGAATCTTCGAGATCCCTGGACCAGAGGGTGCTGCCAAGGCCGACAAGCTGGCCGGACTATTGAGAGGGATAATGGGAGAGGACATCCTAGTTTCGAGACCCGTCAAATGCGTAGACATGCGCGTGACGGGTCTCGATGATGCCATAGACGCGGAAGACCTGCGGGCGGCTGTCGCGGAGAAAGTGGGTTGCTCTCCGGACAACATAAAGATCGGCCCAATTAAAATCGGCTACGGGGGAGCTGGAGTAGCTCACCTGAGGGTGCCGGCGGTGGCAGCTAGGAAGCTAGTGACGGAGAATGGCAAGCTGGTTGTGGGATGGGGATGGGTGAAGATAAGTGTCCTCCCGCCCCTCCTATTGCGCTGTTTTAAGTGCTTGGGAGTTGGCCATGTGAGGGCACAGTGTCCAGAAGAGGTGGACCGCACGGACATTTGTTTCCGGTGCGGGGTGCCTGGCCATAAGGCCGCCAGTTGCGGGAAGGAGCAGCGTTGCGCCATTTGCGCAGCGGCCGGACTCCCAGCCGGACACAGGATGGGCAGCAAGAGCTGTCATCCCCCAACCAGGAGAGGTAAGCCGGTCCCCAGTTCCCGGGTGCCGCGTGCGGAACCGGGCAGCGTGCTGTCGGGCGAAATGGACGCGCAATAGCGGGTCCACTAGTTCGGGGGTGCGTAGTCCGGAGTGGCACCACTACTCGCCGTCTCTCTACATGAGTTCTCCTTCTGAGAACGCAGGTGAGAGACGGGGATGTGGTGCGAGTGGTACCGGGAAGCACCCCTCCTCACAGGAGGAGGGGGGGATGTCCCCATCTCGCACCACGGCGGCGGCGTCATCGGGGCCGGGGCTCTGTCCACCTAGTGGGCGGAGTACCGGGCCTGGGCGGCGCCGCCGCCGCGGTGCCGCGCCCCTGGTGCCGATCGGTCGTCCGTCGGGTATTCGTCCTAGGACGTATTCGACGGCCGAGCCGGCGGCAGCGGGGGCGCGGCAGGTTACGGCGGGCGCCAGTGTTCGTCGTGGCCAGCGATGGAGGGATGGAGTCGGCTGCGGCTCGGCGGGGCACTCACCTCTTCGGCGTTTTATGAGTCGATGGGGGTAGGGGCCACGTCGACCAGCGGTCGACACCATGGCAGCGGGAATACTCTGATCTGTCGTCATGGGCGCCAGGGGACGTTGGCGCCGGGGCTGCCCGGGGATAGCTCGAGGGGGAGGCCGAGGCGACTTATCAGAGTGTTCGTCAGACGATAAAGGAAGGTGAGATAGCCCAATTGCGCATCTCTTCTTCCTAACGGGGGGAGCGGGGGGATGATTACCCCCTCGTTCGTTGCACACCCCAGTTGTCTGGGGAGGGTTCCTCGAAATTACCCGGGAAACCTCCTGGCCGCAGAGAGGGAGGACCGTTCAGTCGGTCCCCCATGGTCTGGGTAACCTGAGTTTCTCCTTGCCGGATACCAGGTCTCAGACTCTGTGAGGGTAATACGGGGGGTTTTGCACGGTAGGCCTGCTGTAGATAGGGGTTCTTTAACCTCCGCATCAGGAGAGCCCGGGTTCAGTCGGCCTCTAATCAAGGTCAGTTCCCCTCGGTACAAAAAAAAAAAAGGTCCTGGGTAGCTCAGTGATTGCAAAAGGTCATGGGTGCGAGTCCCGTCTCAAGCATTTTTCAGTAAGAATATTTTTCAGTATAACATTGTGAATGCAAAGTTAATTAAATAATATTTACCTATCATCACATCTTCTATACAAATCTATAAATTAGAATGTATGTTTGTAATATTAAATATATATATACGTTACATATACAAAAATAATATTTATCTCGATTTTCAAAATAACGTCTTTATCGGTATTTATCTAGATATAATAAATCCAAAAATTGAGAACTGTTACATAACAAATTCATTATTGATCGTTCTTCGGCTTTGATTTATTGAGGGTTCGACGTATAAATAATTCATTACCGACATCCCGTCGAATACTTATTCGTATGCTTAAAATAAAGATTTAGCTGTAAGCTGCATAAATAAAAATTTAAGCTCATTGTTGAGGAAAACAATAAATGAAGAAACAGATATAACTTCTCTGTCTAACCCAGCAAGCAATTTGTCGTGAAGATTATTTTCTCGGACACAATCAATTAATTGCTCTTTATTTATTTATTTTCATTTAATTTATTCTTATATTTACCATATAATAGAAGATACCATAATTATAACTCCCTGTAGTCCTTTAAAATTTTTAAACACCAAAACCCGGTTGGTTGTCATTATTGTAAATTCTTAGACGTTCTTTGTTCACATTGTAATAAGGCAATCTTTGAAATTTCGTGCTAATACACTTTTATTCCCGTTCAAACTTTACTCACGCATACATAACATGTATTGAAACGCCGTATTATGCATGTGTGTGTAAATTTTGAAACAGAATAGGAGTATTTTAGCAGGAAATTTGCCGTATTAACACACACGGTGCTTAATTATGTATTTTTATGTAGGTTTTAATTTTTTTTATGTAGATTGATTTCAACCGTATCTTACTTGGCATTTTTAGGGGTAGTGACAGGTTGACAGCAGGTCCGGTATCGCAGTATCGCATCCGTAGGACTGAGAGCGTCCGTCTCGTCCGCCGGCGCATCGCACTCGTCTGTGACGAGCGGCGCCCGCGCCGGCGACGTGTGAGACCCGTACCCGTCGGAATTCAGCTGAAAACACCCATTGTAAGTATACGTCTGACCATAGCCGGATAATGAAATATAACCCTATCTGGTAGGGTTATCATTCGTCTTGAGATCTTAGGATTTTTTGACTCTTCTCAAGATTGCTCGGATTGGTCGGATTTTGCAAATTTCTCAGGATTTATAGGATTTCTCTTTAATAAAAAGTCATACAAACTATTAATAATCTGCAACAAAATCTCAGTATATTTAAAGCTGACTGAATTGAGAATTCGTTCAGAGCTAGATATATAAATTAAATAAGTTACAGGGATATATACTATTATAAAAAATATAACCCTTATGGTTATTAAAAAGGCATAACGTAAACTTTTATTATATCAATTTTTATCTCATCGTATCTAAGCCATGATGAGTTCATCTAAAATAAATCCTGTTTACAAAGATATGAGTATTTTAAACACAGATGAGCATAGATTTACTGAAGACGCTATCTATCTGACATTTGACACGAAGCTCTACTTCGGAATCATTTGATAGAAATTCACGAACATGCAATAAAGATTACTAATAGGTAGATACGATTAGGAAATGTTTACAGATGTGATATGATGACACAGTGAAACGACGCTAATGGAATTTTAACTAAAATGAAAAGAAATTCTAACAGGAATACAAATCTAATACACTATAAGGCGCTACGATGTTTTATGAAAGGTGCATTGATATTTTTACTGGCATATTGAATATTAATGTCTAAATTGATGTTACTATATACATATTCAATTCATATCTACATCAAATATAGCTGATTCAATCTTTTAGTTATATCAAAAACAAAACTAACAGTTGTCTCTACATGCGTTTAATTAACGCCCGTATAACCGCACTTTGTAAAGACTAACATACTTTAATTTATGTAACTAATTTGTTTTATTTACAAAATAAAGATTTTGTGATATTATTCGTAATGTGTAGTTCATTTTGTATTATTTTCATGTTTCTATTTGCATACCTCTAGATTTTTTACTTTCACAACTTATTTTTTTCATATTATTCAACCATTACCTATAAATTTGAATCTGATGAATGACTGATCAAAAGCTCATGAGTTCTTTTATTTTGTTCCACAATCAAAAATCCTCTAGCGCTTCTTTCTTTATACTCTAATTTGATATTTGATGTTCATAAAAAAAACTTGATTTGAATAATACTGATATGTTAACAGTCTCATTTTGAATCAGATTAACATCGCTAGTATGACACAGTCATACTAGCGGTGAATTTCATTTACAATATTTATGTGTACGAATTTTAACACACCATATTCATTTTTATAATGGGATCAGATTGAATTCATAGCGAATAATGTCATCATAAATAAAATTCGTGACCTTTCCTCAGTCTCTCATCAATAATGTGCAGGTGAAAAGATGATGGCGAGGCTCACTTTGACGATGGTGCCGACCTGGTTGTCGTGATCACGGATCTCGCGCAAATCGCGCGGATCGCGTGGGTCGCGCGACAGATCGCGAATTTCGCGCGTCTTGTCACGCGCGTCTTGCGCGTCGCGCTGTTCCACTCCGTCTACTGGGGCGCCTAGCAATCGCTCCTTCATCTCGTGGATGTAGGGGCAACGCTGCATCGCGATGTAGAACTCGCGAACGCGCACCTACAATAAAAAACATAAAACATTGAAATCATTTTCATTGCCCTATCAAGGAAATTAGAGACAAGATCATCACAGCATAGAGCTTCAATGAAATAAAACTTTAATTACCTTTAAAAGTAGGTTTTATTTGATTGAACCATCTGTACTGTGACAGCGCTCTGCTCGAAGTTCAAAGATTATGTTATTACAAAACAATATTGCTGGCGTGAAGGTATACAGTATAATTAGTTGTATGACATACATACGTAAAGATTAGATGGAATGGCTAATCGAAACAAAACTGTGTATAGAAATAAAGCCGCGTTCTCACGCCTACGGTTATATAACTCACACGTTTTTATTGAGATGAGTGAGGACCTCGTTTTACCTCATGAGATACTCGCGAGGTACTCCTTATTTGAAGTGAGGTCAAGAGGATATAAGAAATAAACGCAAATATTGAGTATGTAGCAAAGCGTAAGGCAAATGAGGGAGGGAGTCGGTCGCTTTGCACGCGCCACTACTTACTCGCCGGCCGAACCGAGAGAAATATTTGTGATAAATTATCGAATATTGAAAACTATATTAATTAAATATTGTTGTAAATCAAGTTATTGTAAAAACATTCTCTTACGCAGAATGAATTTTGGTTATTAAGTTCGTTCTTCACTCCATATGTATTTTTTTACTATTATTATAACAATAATATAATACATGCAAAAGATAGTTCTGTTTATATGTTTGTTACGCTCTCATGAATGGATTGAATAGTCTTAATTTAAAATCCACTTTGGTCGTGGTACTCCTTGGGATAACTAATACTACTAATGGGATTCGAACCCACGATCTTTCATAATCCGGCCGACTGCTCTAACCACTGAGCTACCCAGGACCTAACAGGACTGACGAAGCACTTGTTACTTTTTCGCTACTACAGAGTGTATTTTCATCAATGTTCAGACAATACACCCAAACAGCCGAAAGAAATATTTTTACGAATATTTTAAACTTTCGATAAAGATGAAAATTTGTTCTAATTATAAAAGGATTGAAATTAATAGAGAATTTATTGATTGAAATTAATTTGCATGGAAGTTTGCCATTGTCTATGATAAAATCATGAAACTCTATATTCAGGTATTCGACACTATATCATCATCATCATCATCATCATCAGCCCTTTTACGTCCCCACTGCAGGGGCTCAGGCCTTCCTTATGGATGGTTAAGGAGGATGGGCCATGACCCTCCACGCTGGCCCAATGCGGGTAGGAGGGTATTAATGCCTGCAAATGCAGCCGGGACCAACGGCTTAACGTGCCTTCCGAAGCACGGAGTAGCTCGAGATAATCATTTTTTGGTCACCCATCCCGTGACCGACCCTTGCGAAAGTTGCTTAACACAACGATCGCGGGCCGCGGCGCTTAACCACTACACCACCGAGCTACTCTCGACACTATATAATAAGTAAATATTTGTTTTAGCGTTTTTGAAAATACTGGCCAAATTATCTTTACCACACGGACGAAGTCGCAGGTAAAAGCTGGTAGGATATAAAACAACTATTATTATTCTTAAGTCTTTGTAGGAACTCGAAACGAAATTTCAATTAGTTTGTTCCGGATAATCTAGTAACTGATAGCTTTCTTTATTCGCTTTTATAATTTGTGAACTACGCACGAAGCTCCATTGTGGGCAGCATAGCCATATTGGTGGATATTCCATAATAGGAGTGTCGCTTTGTTATGTGCTTTGACGCAATAACTCCCCATTGAATGAAGTTTCGAATATGGGAGTATGAAAGGACGAACGTGGAATAAGATACACAAAAGTTGAATGGTCTGGCGTCCACTAGGAATTTTCCAACTCTTTTAATATCGCATACGCTACTATGAACCTTATTGCTCTGAGAATAATTGTTTTTTGTGCCATAGTTGCTTTATAATCCTACTGCTTGCATTGTTACGATATTTTTCAGCGTTAGTACTCCATTAGTTAGTGTTTTAGGTCGATTTTATATATATATATATATATATATATATATTCATTTTATCATCACCGGCCTACTAATGCTAGAGCACAGGCCTTCTCTATGGATGGAATCGAATAGGGACAATGAGTCATAATACACCACGCAGGCCTAGCGTGGATTGGTGGGTGTTGCGTGCCTTCTGAAGCACGGACACGCTCGGGATAACATTTTTTTGGTTGCCTATACCGACCCTGAAGGAAAATGTCATCCCCACTTTACATGTAGGGAAGGCACTCTAGTTTTTTTTTTCAATTTTTCTTCACCACTTTGTCGGCGTAATTAACATGTTTACTCATCCCAAAAAAGAACTTTAACGACTGACAGGAAATACACTCTCCTTTTTGAAAAGTTTATATCTTATTTTTATATTTGTTCTTTTTTGCTTGTGCTCTTTGTCACTCTAAAAATTGTTGTTGTCAGTTCCTGTGATGTTATTAACTGTGATCTGTTAATTATAATTATATATTTTATATCTTATATTACTCGTCTCATTTACATTCCTAATTCCCGTTAGCTATCAATAATAATATAATACTGATGTATAATTTTAAAACTGCTACAATTATCCATCTATTTCAAAAGGAAGGATATTTTCTCTTATAGCTTTACCGTATTTCTTCCGTGTACTATGTTTAATACTTTTATGTGCTAAACAGTTTCCGATTGACATACCAATGGGGGATTGTCTGAATAATCAGCGCGTGCACAGACGAATCAATGTCAATAGCGCTGCAGCTGCCAAAGTAGCACAGTTTACAGATGGCCCACGAACGGGTATTTCTAGACAATGACTAGTTTGATATTAAGGTTAAGTGCAGTTATCCTCTATATTGTTATTATACAATAAGATATATGTGTAGCAACTAATTTAATAAATAACAGATAGTTTATTCATTTCGCACAGGTAACACAGATATCAATTTTCATTAATCGTTAAATTTTTGGATCAATAAAAATGAATTATATATACTTTATTTAGGTACAGTTTATATATATTATGTATGTTTATATATTTATGAACGCGTATGTAAATATGTAGGTATATTTATAGTATGTAAACACGTATTTTCTCGCCATATAATACCCCATCTACTACGCATTTAAGTAATAGTCCAATCTAACCTACGGTTGCCTGAAAGAAAAGCTTTTTAGAGATAAGGCCGCCGATTGTACCACTAAATTGTATCGATTGTCCTATTATTGATTTTTGGTGTACAATAAAGTATTCATTCATTCATTCAATCGATCGCTATACCGCTTTCGAGTGCTCGCATTGTGTTGAATTTCTGGCAAATTTGCCGTGCTAATACATATCGACCATAGCATTATCAACCAATGCAAATCGTTGACCTAATGATCAAGTTTTTTGTGTCTACATCTTATCATCAAGTTTTAAATGGTTGAAATGAATCCCCGCATATTTCGTAAAACTAGTTACATGCTTACTGTGAAAAGATATCAAATAATCAATTTCAACAATGTTCATCTAACAATATATACATAATGTATTTTCTTTGATGAAACATTATATTAAATATGTTGTTACAACCAATTGTTTAGGTAAGACTGAACATTGTAAAGGCATTGATACGCGTCCGCCCAAATGTGTCCCTGACCTACTTTATATCTCATTTATTGGCAAAGCGATCCGCTTACAACGTTTCAAGGACTATCCTCGGCATAGACGATCTTTGGAACACGAACCAGCTCCCTCATCAATATAAAGAGCGATGGCATTATTTTTAGTGACATTGCTATAAATAATATTCTTCGTAAAGTCTGATTATTTCAGACGATGACGCCAATACCAAACGGTGGGGTTCTTCTTAAATTTTCAGAAAGATAAATAGATTAATCTCTATTGAAATCAGGACACTTTGCTTTTCTGTGAACATCGTCGTAGTTTTATTATATTCAGTAATAAATCTTAATTAACTGCCATTCTTCAAAAGACGTTTATTGAATATGAAATAATCTGAGGCCTATATTTCTGGGGCTGTCTAAAAAACGGACATTGACCCAAAGTTTTGTACGAGTACGCTGCAGCTGAGTATTTTTATGCTTATAATGTCAATTTTGTAATAAGTAAAGTTATTGCCAATTATCTATGTTTATAAAAAATATTTATTTACCAATTTTTGTCCACAAAAGAGGCCCTCATATAACCTTATTACCGTTACAGAACCGCTAGCTAATAGCTTTGAACTCAGATTATTAAGGTTGCATATCTTTTTTCCGGTGCTATTATATGCGAATCAGATTACGGAAAACTAGCTATACGTAGAACGTTTTTTGTAGAGTGAAACTTACCCATTATGTGCAGGAGAAAATACTGACACATTGAACAGGCAACTTGACCATAACTGGTTGAAGCACGGTCACAGATGCATTGAGAGCAAAAAGAAAACCCAACAAAGTAGGATACTAGATCTATGTTGTTCTGAATTGTTTTAGTTTAGTCGATATTAACAATAATAATTATTTTCTATTTTATCATCTGTATCTCTATATATCTATATCTAGATAAAGCGATCACTCTATTATAGTTCTTTCTGGTATTACTAAGTTTATTTAACATAAACTTAGTTTTATATTTGAAACATCTATATAACAATATTTTATTGAGTCGACAGTCTTTTAAATAGATTAAATTGTAGTAAAATGGAGATAAAGATAAGTACACGGATATACCTCAGTAATTGCCTATAGGATTAAAAAATATTTTGGATAATAAGTGACAATGGACTATTCTCCTTATATTGGAAACTTATCCAGAAAACGCATAGAGCTTAATCTGACTATTGTGTACAAAAAGATCCAGAAAACGCCTAGTTCTTTATCTAATTGATTACATAGAACTTTTAGACATCATCGCCACGAAACCGACTTGCAGTAACCGTTTTGGACTACGGAAATACCCAAATGGTAAAACAAGACCCTATTACTAAAACTTCATTATCAGTCCGTATGTCTGACTATGAATTTCCGTTGCCGACTAAAAAACAGAATAAAATAAATATTTAAGGGGACACTTATACAGCAAACGTTATTTTTTCGCTCATTTCCGGTACTATTCGCGCGCTGTTCCGATTCGCACTATGCTAGTTTTTTTTAATGATTTCTAAACTTTCTACACAACTTTATGTAAATACAAAAACCAACTAAATATATCACCCGATGCCCTAGCTTAAGTGACTTATATAACAACTACCATCCATTAATGACCCGAATATCAACTGTCAAAACAACAACAAAGAACGAATGCATTAAGTAAAATGCCATTAGTTTCTGTATTCCAGTAAAAAGGTAGCAAATTAGTAATA